AAACGCGGGGGGGGGGGGGGACAATGATAATGCAGCAAACCAAGAAATTGTGCACAGGTAGAATAGACTTCTAATAGTCATGAGAAAAATGTTGGCATATGTACAAGGTAAAAAATAAATAAAATAATTTTGCATATTGTTCGGCCTGTGCAGTTCATTGTATTATTAATAGATTATTATTTCAGATTTCTCTGATCGATTTGTTGATAATCTTGACATTTTGATACATTTTTGGTATTCAAATCTGGAATCCTAAAGCAAAACCAATTGAGAACCACTGATTTATTAAATCATTTTTCGTCAGAAATTTGGAACGGCTTTTAACATCGTGAAAGCGAATCCCACTCAGCTGCAACACAGAGTGTGTCTATTGCAGTGAACCGCAGAGACCTTGCATTTTTGGCAGCTATACTAAAGATGTCATCCAAAGCACAGGCAGTAACGCAGCTGTGCTTTTGCTGGTTGAATAATGCCATTTTAATGCAAACCCACTGACTCCTGTCTTTCTGCACAGGGCAGTAACTGCCACACGTTCTTTCTCATTTTCCCCATTGCCATAGAAGAGGATGTTTTGCCATCCAAATGAGCAAAATCTGCCAACGCGTTTCAGATTGAGATGAGGTTCAATAAAAGAAGTAGCCAGACAGTACAGTCTGGCATTCCAGGCTGACTGCAGACTGCAGTCTAGGAGAAGTGCCAGTAGCTTTTCACCGTTTTATTGGAGCTGTTTAGTGCAAGCCTGGCAGTGTGAAATCCTTCACTGTTCTTTCCTCCCGTGGCAGAACTCTCTGACACGCAGGGCCCCAATTCCCAGTGACGCTCAGGGCCGTAGTGGAGCTCGTTTCCACACATCGCACAATAAGAGGTATGTCATCAAGATCATCACCAGCGAGGACGTGGCCGAGATGCACAACATTTTGAAAAAGTACCACCAGGTAGAGGGAGCATCTATTTATTTGTTAAAATGATCCTACGATGAGTATCACAAGCTGTGAAGTAAATCTTTTTTTTGTATTGGCCCACTGCAGTATATAGTCGAGTGCCATGGAAACACGCTGCTCCCTCAGTTTCTGGGTATGTATCGCCTCACAGTGGATGGAGATGAGACCTACATGATAGTCACTCGCAATGTCTTCAGTCACCGGCTGCCTGTTTATAAAAAATATGACCTGAAGGTGAGAAATTCTAAGTTTGAAGAGCCTGTCTTGTCTTTAGTATAATAAAAATTAATGGATGGGGGCATCATGAAAGTGGTCCATAAAACGTATGCTATTTCAAGGCTTTTGAGGCATACAAAATTTTAAATCATGATTCACAGAAAACCATGACATCCACCCTAGTTTTCCCTGGTACGTTCATGAGGAAAGTAGTGATGTCTGATTCATGAACAAACCTTGAATTGTTTGAAATGTGTCATTGAAGCAAGTTAAATAACTTCAGAAAAGATTGTGGCATAGAACAAAAAAAGTCAATAAATGTTTTTTTAATGACGACTTTATGTACTTTTTTAGGGATCCACAGTGGCAAGAGAGGCTAGCGACAAAGAAAAGGTAAACTCTCCCTCATTTTTTACAATTATATGTAGAAGGAATAGAATTTTTGAAAAGGGGGTGAACTTCTGTGCTAAAAATGTTTTCATTATTTCCAGTGTATTATTACATTAGAAAATGAACTCACATTTGCATGTTGAATGTATTGCATGTCTGAGTTTGGAAATTATGTGTAAGAAAAAAACATAACCACAACTATAACATAATTTTCCTTTCCATGTGTGTTGTGTATTAATAAACTCCCAAAATAAAATGATCCTGTGTGAAAGATCCCATTTTCTACTCCATTCCTTGGAAGAAATACTCTCTGTGCTCCTTTTCTGTTCAGTGTTTGCTTGATTTAATTTGCTTCAGAGTGTGGGAAACTGCACTTTGTAGTCTAGGGGTATTATTTAATTCATTTAAGTAATGGTCCTGAGAAGAATGAAAATAATTGGATTCATTGAAACCTAAGAACCGTAGTGTCTCTGTATATTGTGATACCCTATTGTTTTACACTGTAATTTAAGTGCACTGATCTCTGAATGTAAAGAGATGGTAACAGAAACCACTGTAAATAATAGATCAGAGATTGAGTACTTGTCTTCAGGAAGCATTTGACTTGTTGGATTACACGTTTTTACATTGATTTACTGTAGTAACTATATAAAAACATTCTGTACATTAATAAAAGGCTAATGAGTTGCAGTTTATACTTGTGTACAGGATTCTCTCACATAAGGCAACCCTGATCTTGTGTTTTTTCATTGCTGTGTACATATGGAGGGCATGTGAATGATATGCATGTATATATATATATTTTTTTTTTTTTTTTCTACATGCATGTTAGTCTTTCTGGCATGTTAAATTGTTTCTTTGATTGCTTTCTCCTCCATTGAGATTTTGTATCTACATTCTAATGCTGTATATGATACTCTCAAAGATGGCAAATATTAACTGATGTATATTTGTAATTATGTGTCATATACAGACTAGATTTGTTGTCATTCACTGTATTTGATTGAATACTTCCTTTGCAACTGTGATTTCCTTAAAGGCATAGTTCTCCCAAAATGAAAATCTGTCAAATTCAAGTTGTTCCAAACCTGTATGAATTTCTTTCTTCTGCTAAACGCAAAATAAGTTATTTTGGAGAATGTGGGTAACCACGCAGTTTCTGGTATCCACTGACTTCCATAGTATTTTTTTCCATACTATGGAAGTCAATGGGGATCAACAGCTGTTTGGTTACCAACATACTTCAAAATATCTCCTTTTGTGTTCAACAGAAGAAAGAAGCTCCTAAAGGTTTGGAACAACTTGATGGTGAGTGAATGATAACAGAATTTTCATTGAGTGAACTATCCCATTAACATTCTCCCATGATATTTTGTGTCTTCACTTGTTTACTGCACATGTTATCAGTCAACTTTATATCGCTCTGTACTTTTGGTGTGTTTTCATTTGATGCATTTATGTGGGATATTTCCATCTTTTTAATTCTTCCATTTTCTCCTGAAGGCTTTACACCTTTGCTTTATGAAATGAAGTTAAAAATGACTAAGAAAACAAGTCCTCAAAGTTATCTAGAAAGCCCTCGTCTCTCACCTCCACGCACTGATTTGTGGGTGACGCTGCTTGCATCTGACGCTCCTTTTCCCTGCAGCCACGTCCACCTGAGGAGGCTCCGTCCAAATCACGCATGAGCCAAAAGCTACAAACCATCCGGATTGCCACACGCTTTTACTGCGCCATAAGACACGTAAGGACACGACAGCAAAGAGCTGTCCCATATTGCTCTGTGTTCTTCTTCAACATGCTTTACCCCACATTTTGCCTCAGGAAATCACCGTTCCCTCTGGATCCCACAAGGGACTGTAAACCCAAGCCCAGGGCTGGTGCTTTAAGTTGTCTTCCTGTTCCAGAAATAAAGCGGTGACTTCTTCTTCGACAATCTCTGCTGAAATTTGTGAAAAGAACCGGAATACTAGTGTGTCAGCATTTAAGTGTTCTTCTGAGCCATAGGGGGTTATACTATACCTTCATATGGAACAACGTGAGAGCAAATGACGACCACATTTTTTCAACTTTTGGGTGAACTATCCCTTTAATCTTGACACTAGCTGTAGGCTTTGGTTTGGAATCGCTGATGTTTGTGGAAGTAGGCATTTAGGAAATAACCCTTGGTTTAATCATTGTAATTATTTGAATGCTGTAATTGTCTGTTGGCTCTAATCGTGAAATCTAAATCACACCCTGTTGCTCTGAGTGTCCACAGGAGGCAGCCTGCTTTATAGTACACTCCACTGCTTCTGTGATCTGCTATTTTTAAGTTCACTCAGTGAATTCTCAGATGTTCATTTGTTGTGAGAGCAGATCAAAAGAGTTCCAGATCAAAACTTTTTTCACCCCCATAGACTATTTTTTAGATGGTGAATTTTAGTGTGATATAACAGAAAGTTGATACAAAACAAGAAATACATCATTAAATGTTTGAATTTTGTAGTCAGTGAGGAAGTAAATGTGAAGTGTGTTAATTCTTTGATACCAGCAGCACCAAATATAACTATAATGTATTTGTATTTATTTATTGCTGCTGAAACAAACTTTTGCAATTTCATTTGGTGCTGCTAATGGCACAGAAATGACCACATCACCTTTCATTTTGTTCCATATGTAAAAATATTTCTATATTAATTAATTGATCTTTTTTGAGTCTATTAACAAATCCAAAAACTCTGGACTTATATATGTCAATGACATTCTGTTTCATTGCTGAGTAAACTGAAAGTTTAAATTTACACACGTTACTCCTGACAAACTTTTAACACTGTTTCTCAATGTGAATAACAGACCAAGGAGCTTCCAACTTACAAAGACAATGACTTCATCAATGACGGCCAGAAAATCTACATAGATGAGGAGAACAAGAAAATGTTCCTGGAGAAACTGAAGAACGACGTAGAGGTCTGTGTGCATTATCCATCATGTTCTTTACTGCTTTCGTCCTGTTCGTTTGTAATTGGCTCATTAAACTCTTATCTAAACACTCATTGGTCCTAATCATCCCTCTGTCTAATTAAAAAGACAATGAATGCTTCATGCTTAATCCCTTGGAAAATGTGCTTCCAGTTCCTGGCCCAGCTGAAGCTGATGGACTACAGTCTGCTGGTGGGGATCCATGATGTGGAGCGAGGGGAGCAGGAACAGCCCGAGGAGGAGAGTGAAGACAACGACGCTGGAGAGGAGGAGGGGACGGAGAGCGACGGAGGGGCCACCGGCTCCCCACCAGACAGCCCCAGTAACACACTAGACAGCAATAGACCTCTGGGCCCGGGAGAGTTTGATCCTGCCATTGATGTATATGCCATCAAGAGCCATGAAAGTGAGTCAGTTTCCAGCTAGAATTAAGTTAACCAGAGTTGCTAGGGTGTTGCTAGAAGGTTGTAGGCTGTTAGGTTGTTGCTTACTGTCCCACTAAATCTCTTACCGTTTTCTTGTCCCTAGATATAGCTTGAGAGCCATTTTCAATTTATTTTTTGCCTGTTTTATCGTCCACCGGACCAAAATTGTTAGTCAGATTACTTAGAAAACTAATAGTACACCTTTCTTTGAGGTGTCATGTCTGTTGCACAAATAATACTGAACAGGTAACTCACTGAATTATATTTGTAATTACAGTTTTGAAAAATCATTATACATTGGGGAGGAAAAAAATATGTTACAATTAACAGTATAGAGGGACACCATTGCTCTGTAAATATTTCACATTAAGCCATATTTACATTATAATGTGTAATATTGCACATTCAGTGCTCAGAAATGTATTAGTATTTTTTATTAGTTATTGTTTAATGTAACATTATATTTTTTTTACCCAGTCAGGTCAATAGTTCAGTTTTTTCTTGCCCTGACATACAATTTTGTTTTTATATATTTACTAGAAATATTTATTAATTAAAGGTTGTATTTTCTGTAACACTTTACAATAAAGTTCCATTTGTTACCATTAGTTAACTACAGTAGTTAACATAAACTAACAATGAAAAATACTTATAAAGCATTTAATAATCTTAATGTTGATTCCAACGTTTACTAACACGTTATTAAATTCAAAAGTTGTATCTATTAATGTTATTTAATGGACCTGAGATTACATGGACTAACAATAAACAGTTGTATTTGTATTAACTAACGTTAACAAAGATTAATAAAAACTGTAACAGTGTATTGCTCATGGTTAGTTAATGCATTAAATATAGTTAACAAATGAAACCTTATTGTAAAGTGTTACCATATTTCTTTGTCTTTTTTGTCTTTCCTTTTGCAGCAAGCTGGAAATTATACAGTTGTAATGCAGCTCCATAAATGTATAAATGCTTTTTATAAATATTTATTCATTAAATGTTACATTGTCATTTTTCTTTACAAAAACAAAAAAATAAACAATCTTGAAAGTATACAGCTGTATTGCAACTTCAAAATTTTGTAGATGTTTACTGGAAATATTTATTCATTAAGTGTTACATTTTCTTTTTTTTCTTTACAAACATTTAACAAAACTTTAAAACAGTCTTGAAATGATACAGCTGTAATGCAACTCCAAAATTTTATAAATGCTTTTTTATACTTACTAGAACTATTCAATCATTAAATGTTACATTTTCCTGCTTTTTTCATTATAAATAACAAGTAAACAAATAAAATATGCAACAAGCTAAAAAAAAAATTACACAGCTGTAAAGCAACTCATAAATTAATAAACACACTTCTACTGGAAAATGATGCACAACATTACTGACTGATTTGTAGTTAACACATCACTAATGCTTTCAAGACTGTCAGAAGTCATTTTTGCACATTTTTAAAACGTTATCCAGCTAGATTGGTGACAAATCAGCAGTATTTTCAACAACAATGTTGAATGCATTACAGAAAACCATGCATTTCAGTTTGCAAGGCATATAAATTGATGCACAAGGTCAGTAGATTAAATTGAAGTCAAATATTCAGTGGCAGTGCAGCACTGGGCCAAAAAGCAAGCAACAGTTCTGTCTCACTTTATTACAGTTGTATCTTGCTTAAAAACAGTAGCGCATTCTACCTTTCAGATGCTCCCAAAAAAGAAATCTACTTCATGGCGGTGATTGACATTCTCACTCCATATGATGCCAAGAAGAAAGCAGCCCACGCAGCTAAGACAGTCAAACATGGGGTGAGAGTCCAATATGTCATAAACACAGTGCTAGTATTAAATTAGTCCTCCGTTTACTCAACATCTACACATTTTTTTTTGCTCTTTCTTTCTCCAGGCAGGGGCTGAGATCTCAACGGTCAACCCCGAGCAATACTCAAAGCGGTTTTATGATTTCATCACCACCATTCTGTCCTAACTGCTGCCCGAGGCTGGAGTGAGGCGGAGTAACAGGTGGTCACATATGAGCTCATATCCTGGGAGAGGTTTTGCAGTGGGTAACAGATCCAGTGTCTCTCTCCCACTTGTCACAGGATCACGTCTGAGATCTGTCAAGATCTTCTTTTTTTTTGTTTGTTTACAATTTGTTTACTTTTTTTCCTCTGTTGGATTTTTCGGTAGGTTTATGGCTCCATGTGGTTGATAAGGCATACATGTGATATAGTCATGCATATATAGCGTTCCGTACCTTTGTGTTAGATATTGTTGATTGAGAAACCGAGTGATGTTGTTTGTGCCCAGCTACGTGGTATGATTATCATACTGGAATTCTCAAAGCTGCTTATATATTTATTGTCCTCATGTTCTTTGCGGAGAAAATTGCATTGTTCTCAAAGGAATAGTTCACCCCAAAATTTGACTTTGCCGAAAATGTACTCACCCTCAGACATTCCAAGATGTAATTGAGTTTGTTTCTTCATCTGAACAGATTTGGAGAAATGTAGCATTACATTAGTTGCTCACCAATGGATCCTCTGCAGTGAATGGGTGCCGTCAGAATGAGAGCTGATAAAAACATCATAATACTCCACAAGTAATCCACACCTGATCGATTAATGTCTTGTGAAGCAAAAAGATGCACGTTTGTAATAAACAAATTAATCAATGCATTTTTTACTTTTGTGCAGATTATTGCGATGTTTTTATAATGTTTGGGCACGGCACCCATTCACTGCAGAGGATCCGTTGGAGAGCAAGTGATGCAATGCTAAATTTCTCCAAATCTGTTTTGATGAGGAAACAAACTCATCTACTTGCATGGCTTGAGACAGAGTACATTTTCATCAAATGTAATTTTTTTTATTTTTAAGTGAATTATTCCTTTAATAAAAAGTCCAGTTTTAAATAACTAAAATATATTTCAATGTATAAAATAAATTTAGCCCTGAACAAATATGACCAGAGTCAGAATAAAAATAAATTGCAACATAATTGTTTGAAAGTGTTTATTGCACTAGCTGCAGGCAAATCGGTTTACAAAGCGTTTGTAACATTGGAAAAGAATGCAACTTCAGGAACAATTACTGCATTTATAGTTAAGATCCAATCAGCAAATTGGATTTAGATGATCTGCCTGTTGTGCATTGTAAAGTCTTGCACAGGAGCTCAATATTTGTAATTGGCTCCGATAGTAACGTTTAGTATAACGCAACTGGTTTTGCACATGATGTAATGCACCAAAACATTTATGCAAATGATTCCAGTTTTACCACTGACTCGCGGAGGGTCATGCAATAGTAGTGATTCGTAGAATGTGTTAAGCACCTAATGGGTTACATGTGCGTTGCCACTTTTGTATCCCTAGTGAAGGAACAAAACATTGCCTGTTTTATGTTGTTTAGCTCTTGATTAGAGAACACCATATGAAAATGAAGCATATTTTGTACCTCCCTTTTTTTACAGTAATATTTAGCAAGTTTACAGTGGGCCGTTCTCTTGAGAATGCAGTTGTGCCGGCGCTATATAGATGCTTGAATCTGTGTATAGTGTTTCAGCTGCACTGTAAAGAGCGAGAGAATGCTGCCTCTTACTGTTGCTATCTCTCTCTCTCTCTCTCTCTCTCTCTCTCTCTCTCTCTCATCATTGTCGAAACTTTGTGTGATCCCAGAGACCTTTAGTATTATACAAATATATAGATATTGTGATATGTCTTCTTCTGAAATATCGTTTGCAAAGTAATCCTAAATATTCTACTGTATGTGTTGACATATATACACTGTGCGAGGGTGTGCCTTTTTTACTCTGAATTATTTAATTTTGTATTTGAATCATTTTTTTAAAAAGAGACGTTTGAAAAATGTTATTTTCTAAAAAGGGAAAGGTGAATAGGACGAATCCTAAGGTGGTTTTGCTGTTCCTGTGTAGATGTGTAAATATGCAAGTGTATTATGTGTTTGCAATATTATGTCAATGTTGCAGTCCTAACGGTACAAAAACGTAAAGATTTTCCTGAAATTATTAACCTGATTAATTTGCTTAAATTACTAATTTGATTCCTACATTGTTGTTATAATTGAAGTTGTTTTTTGTTAATGTTTTCTGAGGCTTGATGTGTTGCTGTATTTTGATTTCAATCCTATCAATAACTAATTAGATAAGCAATGTCAGTTCTTGTTTTAGGACAGTTTCCAGTGGAAGAGACGAGAGGCTTCATGAACACACACTCCTGACTTTGAAGTTGATGTCTGTACAGCACACGTGAATCTCAATGTGAGCTTCTGGGGGAAAATGACTTCACTTTGTCTCAAATTGTATAGAGTTATGATCTCATGCGTTGCAATTTGTAAAAACATGCTTCCATGTTGATGGTACAGTGTGAGTTTGATACGTTAATGTTTGAGGAAGAGAAAAAAGCGTTGAAGGAAATGTGAGCCCTTTTAAATATGCTGTCAAAGGAAGATATTATCGGTTGTCATTCTACTTGTCATAACTGTTATCTACGTCATGAAAGTGTGCAGCTCTTGTGTGTACGTGCTGTAGGCCTAAAATATTTAAAAGCACTCTGTCCCATAAGCATTGCTCAATAAAATGATGCATTGCTCCGCTTGATTACTGGTTGTAATATTTATGTATTATGGCAAAATCTTACTTTCGAAAAACAGATCATTAAAAAATATAAAGTGCTTCCCCTAAAAGATTTACATTTGGATGTGTTCATCATTAAACCAATGGATAGAAAAAAATAATGGTTTATTAAACTTAAATTTAGCTATGTTTTTTTTTTACATGTAATTGGAACAGATTTTATTTGAGTTTCAAGATATAATGAAGAGTCTCAAAGGCAACAATTTGTAAATATAGTGATGATCAGAGCATGTTGTTACATTTAGTTTAAACTATAAGGCCTAATATTACTATCCATATCTTAACCTAACCTGTAATTTACAGTGTATATTGTAGAGGTGCGTTACACGCTTACAGCCAGAAGAGGGCGCGTCGTGCTGCCGTGAAATGACAAACAATATAGGGCAGAATCCACAAATCGTTTACGTGAGGCTCATATTTTAGGCGTGGTAATTTTTAATGACCCTTGCTGTATTAATACGAAAGGTTTTGCGCAATAATTTCTATATCTTGACTGAGTGCCATTAATTAATCAAGAAGAGCCTTTGAACTGCTCCGCTTTAAGATTATTCTTCATACATGTTTGCGATACATTTGTGTTTCCATATGGTACTTTTTAGGTCAAAACCATTTTTCTTTTAGCTATTTTTTCAAAATAAGTGTTGTCTTTAATTGACAAGGCAACCCCCAAAAGGAACCACTTGAGCTCAACTACTCCAGAATAAATCGGTCCATATTTAAACTGAGACACTTTAATGCTTTGCATTGCCACAGACATTATCCACAGAAATCTGTGGATGAATTAGCAATGAAAAAAATCGCTTCGGCGTCAATTTATGTCTTTAAGACATTTTTTAAAAGCTAATGTATTTTACTTAACTAATAGCTATAGTATTTTACTGAACTTTTTGTTTATTTCTTGTTATACAAATATAATTCTTAACATTTAAAACGGAAGGTTTTAAATACATTTCGATATAGCCTTTTCAACACCGGCCAAGCAGCTACTGCCGCTAATTCTTACAGGACACCTAATTTAAGTGATTATTCAAGCATGCGCTTAGGACAATAGATAATTAATAGATAACAGTCTATTAATTCAGTTCTATTAAACACGGTGTTTATTCAGAGATCATTGGTTGGGCCTATTGATTTTGCTCAAATTATTGCGATTAACGAGACGGTGGGCCTAAGAATTTATTTCTGCACTAGGCCATTAGATTTCTTAATATTTGTACATTTTCAGCGTGGTCCTGCAGTGTTTTGACATTTGTGTAAAGGATCTGCCACGGACAAGAAAGACGAGCAACAAACTCTTTAAGAAACCACTTATTAGCAACTATTACAATTGTTGCGGCTGGACATAGCTAGACCTTTATCAAATCTTTAACTTTATGCAGTCAAAGCAAACGTATAGCAAAAGATAGCCGTTGCTAACCATTCTTAGTCGGCTATTTATTTATACATTTATTTGAGTCTTTAACGGGACTAGTCTTCTATAAACTTGTATGTTTGTGGTTTGCACCCACACGGTCACTAGGCCGGTTGTTGTTTGAACTATGTGTATGGAATATGCATGGAATCATATCTACTGATCACAGAAAGACAGTAGTCAAAGCACACTTCCTGCTCTGAACAAAAATTACATCATTAACACATTTCAGTTCATGAGAGCATCATACGGCTTTGTTGGTCGTAAACTATTCGTCCACAAATTAAAAATGTCGCAGTTTGGACCATTAAAATTGATTTTAGATTATGTACAGCTAAAATAAAATAAAGTAGGTTAAGGTATCAAGCAGCTCCTCTGAAATAAGAACCGAATTGATCAAAGGTCAAAGTAGGTTCTTGTCGCAGAATAGGCCTATTGTAAACAACATAGCTAATGGTGGTTTTGTTTTATCAAGGCCACACGATGCATTTAGTAATAAAAAAAAAGTAAAATGTTTATTCAGACAAATGTTTCATATTGTACAACAGTAAATGATACATTGGCTTTAAAAAATAACCGCTGAACATTAATTTGAAGCAAGAAAAAACATCTGAACTTTAGGCTATACGTATACATACGGAGTCTTCTAACTATTCTCGCGTGACAACAAATCGAGAGAAAAAAAAAAGATTACTTCTCAACTTGGCCAGCGTATCAGATTTTTTAAAAATGACACTTTCTGGGTTTATCCAAGACAATACTGACGCTGAATTTCTGCCCTTTGCAAATTTAGTTTGGTGTTACACATATCACCCGAATAAAATCAATACAATCTGGATAATCAAAACATTGCGTGTGCCTCCATGTGTTTTATTGAAGACTTCATGGACAAGGAAATTATTTATATACATTGATGTTCTAATCTAAAATGAACAAGACAGAGTTTATAAAAACACCTAGATACATTCTCCTTCTTGTTGAGTTTCCCTCCAGTAATCTTCACAATATTAGTTATGCCATAGTAATTAATACAAAATATAACACAAACAATGCTGTGTTACAAAGTTTTCACACGTGGTGACAAAACAAATATATTTAAAAATGATATAAAAAATTGAAGCGGTGGTTTATAAAGAAAGCATCTACATCACAGCTCTGTTTGCAAGGGGTTGATGGCTTTGGCATCCATAAGCAAGTCACCCAAGAGAGTTGGAGCCATTATGAGAAGTTTTGCAGACTTTGCTGCTGAAAGGACTTTGGCCATTGTGGCCCACTTTGGCAGAGACTCCGTTAACGGTGGAGATATGGGGGAAGCTGGGATGTGAAGACTGAACAGGAGTGCTTGGGCTGGGCAGAGAGGAGGATGTGGATGGGGCGGCAGCAGCAGTCGGGCTGTTTGGTTTGTCACTGCTGGAATCGCTTTCTATATCAGGCCTTCTGCCACCGGTCATATCATCCCTTGGACTGCTCAACTTCATTTTTTTGCAACCAGGCCGAACTCTGTACTTCAATGGCAAGGGCCCGTTCTGGAAAATATCAACATGTTATTATCTTTGCAATTGGACTAAAATATAAAAGCACAGTTCCATGTGTTAAATATATCAGATTTAATACTCCTACCCTTCTCCATGTGTAGATATAAGCAATATCCATAAGAGTATAATAATCTTTCAAAGGCTCATCTTCATACATAACTTCAATCTGAAAGAAAAATAGAAACTAAATCTTATCTTATATTGACAAATTCTTCAAAAGTGCAAAATGTGCGCTTTTACATCAAAAACATGGCCACAAGTAAGACAAACAAGTTTAGAGAGGAGATTACCTGAAAGGTACATGGTATATCCATTTTACTTCGGAGGAATTTTCTGAGAAGCATTACTGTCATAGCTGCAGGGCATTGTAAGTACCGCTTTACATTCACCTAGAAAAATGAGATCATTACAAAAATTCAGTAAGTAGTCCACTATAACCCTTTAAAACTGACTTCATGAAACAAGTTCTAAAATATTTAATTTCTTCAGAAATGAATTACCTCTTTTGTGGTTTCTTTTTCTTCTCCATCTTTACTGTCAATCCTGATCATTTTAAGAGAAAATAATAAATGCAATGTCTAACTACAAAACTATAAATGTCACATCTGAGGTAACCTGCTACATTTACATGCCTTTTACTAATGATTATTTCATTATTAATTTCATAAGCAACATGAAAGTGATCACTGAGTGATGATAATTACAAATTACACTCCACAAGGATCTTATACTGAACTGAACCTACTTGTTCTGATCAAAAAACTCAATGGACAGACTGATGATCTCATCATCAGCGATGATTCTCTTGTCTTCATCTGCCACTTCTCCTCTGTCCTCATTAGAACCATTAGTAGCTGTAGGACAGAGAAATAATTACAACATCTAGATTAAAAAAACAAGAGTGCTTATTAATTAAAATATCACAATTATTATCTTAACATTTTACCATCAACTGGATGCTCCGCATAAAAATCTCTCCTTCGTTTCATCTCATCTGAGTAACAAAGGCACAATACATCACTATTGATTTATGAATGTTTGAACACATAAATAATAAATAAACATAATTAAAATGAAAACTTAAAAAAAAAAAAAAAAAACTTACTTTTGAACAGACCAGGCACCAGCTTGTAAACAATGTCCTGAAGGGTCTTATCTGACCTGAAATGTACAACCATTTTTGAGGGGTATACAAACCGAGCCTTCTTTGATGTACAGAAATGTAAAGCTTTAATGTATTTTCTGGATGAACAAGCAACATGGATGTTTATTAAAAGTATTTCAAAAATATGGTATCAAAAAATAGGCATTTGAATTTAATTCCTAGGTATTCCCCAGCCATTACCTGATATTGAGGAGAGGTTTTGTTTTATGAACTTGGACATCACAAATAGGACAATATTTGCTGGTCTCCAGATACCTCACAATGCACATTTTGCAGACTGTGAAAACAACAGACGACAAATTACAAAATACTGTTTAAGCCGGCTTAAAAGACAGCCCAGTTTGAACACCCAACAAAGAAACGAATTAACGGTAAATAAGAATTAAATAATAGAGATTACGACAGACTTACATGAATGCAAACATTCGACAATGGTGGTCGCATCAATGAAGTATCCTCCACATAAAACGCACATCAAATGAGGATTTAGCTCCGTTATCTTGATTCTCGTTGTTCTGTGCATTGTCATGAGAGTTCGCAAACCTGATAACAAAAAAAAATACATTCTTTAATATTTACAGTCACACTTAGAAAAAAATAAAGTCGGGTTATAAGGTTAGATGGTCCAGTTTTAGGCTACTTGAAGCGGACAAAAATGCGACAAAGCCAGACAAAATACATCTAATGTTAGGCTGTTTACGTGTAATCCGGTAATAGGCTACAATGAACTAGTGTTATTCTAAATTAATTACGCCTTCGGTTAAACTCGTTGGTGTTTCAGGACAAAGTCCAAGCACAAGTTAAAACGGTTTTCTTTTATTTGCGCGGATGCGTACAGGTGAGAGTGAAAGCCAAATGCCCACATGTACAGTTGCTATGACGACGGGTTGTAATTGGCATTGTGCCAGTCGAAACGGAGCCGCATACCTCAGATTCGCAGATGGACCGGATTATTACAAATGACCATAAATTCAACCAATTAACGGTCAAACGCCACCACTTCCTCTCGACAACAGTGTTTCTCTCTAAAAAGCATGCGGCTACTTGAACGTGGCTGCCATTTTGATACAAAAAGCCCCGAGTCCAAGCGAGTTCGCTCGCAAGAGACTGCACCCTGAGCACCACACACTATTGTTTAAGAAGCGGTAAGTAGGCTACTATTACCTGTTAAACACGTCGTACAACCATCATTTCAGCACGTTTCGCTGCCAAATGTGAAAGGGAAAATAACTGGTGCTCTTCCCTGCCTTGCCGACGTCTTCAATGAGGAACACAGTCAACCGAAGCTGGAGAGCTCGCATCTGTGATCCCGCTATCTCTCGACTGCGACATCGGTATGTGTGGGTAACGTTAGCTCAGCGTCACATTTTCAAATATCAATATCCTGTAACTGCTAATGTTCACTCATACACCGTTCTCAATGAAGTGCTCGGAATCCAACGCATTGCCGTCAAATAAAATTAGACTCTCTTGACACAGTCCAACCTTTAAATAACGTTAGTTGCTCAGTAATTGAGAAATATGTTTGATAGACCTACATAAAAGACATAGCCTACAATAATATAACAAAATACCTCAATAGCGAACTTAATAGGCTACCATTAAAAAGGTGCAGAACAACGCACTGCATTTCAGTCAGTGGTAATAAAAAAAAAACTATTCAAAACACTGTAAAAAAATATTTCTGTTGCCTACTTTTCCTTCTTTATTAAGTAGGCGAACAACTTCTAGTCGGAAGTTAGATTGAATTATTTTACATAGGCTAAGTGAATTTGTTGATCAGTGATTACAGAAACAAGCTGGCCAAGTTTCCAGCAGAGGCGGACAAAACAGGTGTGCTTTGGTTTGGAACTGGCTGGCCTAAGGAAAGCCATTTCTCAAGCTTGTCCAATAATGAAAACTCATAAGACCAATCTATGTGGTTTAGTAATGATATTCAGATTACACTACGATTCGTAGGCCTATCTGATAGCACATTTAACACTCTGGAAACGGAACTGTTGTCTTTTCTGTGAAGAAAGAAGAGGTCTAGGTAGAATCCAACGCATTGCCGTCAAATAAAATTAGACTCTCTTGACACAGTCCAACCTTTAAATAACGTTAGTTGCTCAGTAATTGAGAAATATGTTTGATAGATCTACATAAAAGACATAGCCTACAATAATATAACAAAATACCTCAATAGCGAACTTAATAGGCTACCATTAAAAAGGTGCAGAACAACGCACTGCATTTCAGTCAGTGGTAATAAAAAAAAACTATTCAAAACACTGTAAAAAAATATTTCTGTTGCCTACTTTTCCTTCTTTATTAAGTAGGCGAACAACTTCTAGTCGGAAGTTAGATTGAATTATTTTACATAGGCTAAGTGAATTTGTTGATCAGTGATTACAGAAACAAGCTGGCCAAGTTTCCAGCAGAGGCGGACAAAACAGGTGTGCTTTGGTTTGGAACTGGCTGGCCTAAGGAAAGCCATTTCTCAAGCTTGTCCAATAATGAAAACTCATAAGACCAATCTATGTGGTTTAGTAATGATATTCAGATTACACTATGCTTCGTATCTGATAGCACATTTAACACTCTGGAAACGGAACTGTTGTCTTTTCTGTGAAGAAAGAAGAGGTCTAGGTCAAGGAAAGACTGCAGTTACAGTAAATCTGTCAATACTGCAGATAAGTCATCTCTAGATATTCGGGACTACTATGATGTGTCGTTTTCCTTTTATTTTTTGAAAGATGATTGCAAGCAAGCATTTTATGATTTGACTATGAAACATTTGCTGTGTGGCAAAATGTGTAGAAAATATATAGTCTATAAGATTAATAAATAAATCAGTGAGGCACGGCATGGTGAAAAGGTCAGATGGGAAAACAAAAGAGAACTAGGTTAACAACCGATGTTAGAATATATTTACATTATCTAATTTATTGGATGGAGTTATCAACAATATTTTTATGAACTATGACTGAGCGGGGGTGAGTCACATATTCAGTTAACAACTGACTGATTAATAAAGACAATATTGTATATATTAAACTAACGGGAAATTAAAAAAAAAAAAAAAAATCTTAGAATTAGGACTCTTGTCCTACCTTGTCCAAAAAGAAAAAAAAGGTTCGGTTCAGTCAGAGGTGTCCTGGTCCAACCCAGTCTCACGGCAGTTGCATAGAATCGAGACAGTGTTTGTGTTATTTTTAAAAGCTAAATACAAAACACAGAAGCCAAGTTACATTCAGTGACAAACAATTAATTAACAAGCTCAAAAACATGTAAAATAGGCTATATGTTAACAGCCTCAAAACAATGTTCTGGTTTCGTGTGGTTCATCTTAGAAGAGGTTCCCGCAAATACGCACATGAATTTAAGTTAATAAAATTAATCGACGATATTAAAACACGGTAAAGTAAATTTTTCCTAAATATACAATCTCTAGACTACTCAACTCTATAAAATAAGAGATCTAATGTTTGATTTTCGAGCGTGGAGAAATGGATGAAAGTGGTCACCCGTTAACACCTGCCCCAACTCGCCTGTTCTTCAGCGCGCGCCGAATTTTAAGATGAAAAACAACACATGAAGAGAACATATATATTTCAGTTTTATAAAGATGGCATACTCATTAACATGTATACTGTGTTCAAATATGTCACCGGTTGCGTTTCATGAGAAATGTGACAAAACTGAAATGAAAATCGTACGTATGAGAAACACTCATATAGCCTACAAGAGGCAACATTGTTACTCTCTTGTCTCATAAGAGAGAAAAGAAAGGAAAAGCGTAAAAAACATTAAAGCGTACATACCCGGTATATTTCGCGATGGTTTCTTAGCTTTGTTGTGGTAGACAATGAAACTTGAGAGTCGATCAGCAAAAAACGAATGCTACCGAAGCGGCCATCTTGGAATGAGCTGCAAACGCTGTCAATGGCTCTAACGTTTCACCGCCGTGTTCATTGTGGCCTTCTTGCGCAGTTGCACATAGGTTAACGTAGCTCACTCTTCGCCGGCTCTTTCCGATTTGATTTACAGATAAATCCACAGATTCCGGTCATAGATGGTCAATTCCAGAGGCGCAGTTGTCCTGCACGGCGATCTGAAAAACACAGTGCCTGATGGTTCAGTGCAAACTGACACAGTCCCCAAAATGGCTTAGTTCGACCGCCCCACTCCATCACGTGATCTCATTCTTTACGGGTAGCCTGGGAATTAGTAGTGGGGTATATACCATCAATAGGGTACCCCTCTGACGGATGTCTTTGTCAAACATCACCACTTCTGAAGAGGAAAATCCCTCGCCAAGCCTCGCAGTTTGGTCGGAATGATTCTTAGACTATAAGCAATGAAGAACTTTTAGAAAAGCAGCATTTCTCTTTATTTTCACAAAAATCGCACGTAGTGCTAAATGCCCAAATGCAGAACAAGCAGAAGGGTTATTTTGAATAAATCAGAATTAGGCTGCATTTAAAAATGGCACAAGGCAAGCGGAATATGGCAAGACGCTCTAAATGCTTTCTCTATCTTTCAATTCACGCTGATTTTTATATTTTGTTCCCAAGTAAGATTTATGTTTTATTGGCCAGCATGTTCCCATTATGCAACTTATGCAGAATATACGCATTTCACTTCAATGACCTGCCTTTAGCTATAAATGTAGCCTATCAACACGTAAAGCAAAAAAATAAATAAAAAATGTACATTCCTAACTTTTGCTCAGTTTTTTAGACTATACATAAAATGTGGTATTAAAATGCTTTCTGGTTAGAGGTAACAATCAGTTAGGCTATCTACACTCGATAAAGCAGTTGCTTTTATTCACACTCACTTTCTCAGTGGTTACAGTGAAGAAAAGTTGGGTGGTGAAATTTTACTCTCAGTGCACAGATGTTTCTAAATGTCATGCCGTAGAAGAGGCAAATATGTATCCTTTACAGTAATATTTTTCCAAATACAATATGTAGCCTGTGTAGGCTACACAGAAGTCACACTGAACCCTTGTCTCAAAATATGGCGTTCTAAGCCAAGCCATTTTTAGTAAATTGCCATTATGGCTACTTCATTGACCCGACTTGAATGTTGGGTTTATACAGCGGGGGGTTTTTTTCTTTCTTTTTTTCACTTTTCTTGTTTACAAATTCCAGAAACCGTTCACAAATTTTAGCATTTACCTTGATGACGTTCTTATAGTGTCAAGTTACATATAAATATTCAGTGATTATTAGATAATCGGTGAAATAGTGCTGGTGTTTTTCTCCGTAGCGCTGGACGGTAGTCTCCCTCGTTCAGCTGCAAACCACACGCGCAGTCCCTGCCATGACGTCAGCTGCTCTAATACAGGCACTTCAGCGAAAACAAAGAAGCTCAGCATGCTGGCGGAGACCCGAGGCACTTTAGCGTTAACCGTACCGGGTTCTGCAAAACCTTAAAGCTCCTTCGGTTACCATCTACCGTACCAGTTTCACACGTAATCTATGGCTACAATAAAAACATGCCATTAGCTCCGCGCATGAATCGAATTGATCAAGGTATACGCCAATTGTAGGCCAATTTCAAAGACTAGTGTCATTTTCTGACAAATATACCGATTTTATCTATACCTATTTATTTATTCCGACTACAGATGTGACTCATCAAAATGGCCGAATCTCAGTCGCCTAGCGGGTGTTAATGCAGCACGGAACCTTGAGCAACAACTCGAGAGATAGATAGCCTAATGCCCTCCTCTTCCAAAAACTGTAAAGTTATTGACAACTCCATAGCGTCTATGCATCATGGAAAACTACTCCAGTATTAAATACATTTGTGAAGAATAAATGCTTTCCACAGTTTCGTATTCCTTGCTTGATTAAATGTTGACTCGAATCTTATTTAGCCTACACATCAATAAGCTAACCATTTTAAAGCACAGGCTCTTTTGTCTTGTAATTTATTCGATCATTCTTAAGACTTTATATGAAGACGATTTAAAGCGATTTATTATAACATATATAAATGGCAAATAAAACGAGAAGATCTTTCAAAAATGACCATGCTCAGTGACTGCGTTTCCTCTTTTGTCTTACCTGTTGGGTTCAACTTTAATGACACTATTGATTATTGATTGTTTACTGATTCCACAAAATTGATTTGTTAAAGACTAGTGTCATTTTCTGACAAATATACCGATTTCATCTATACCTATTTATTTATTCCGACTACAGATGTGACTCATCAAAATGGCCGATTCTCAGTCGCCTAGCGGGTGTTAATGCAGCACGGAACCTTGAGCAACAACTCGAGAGATAGATAGCCTAATGCCCTCCTCTTCCAAAAACTGTAAAGTTATTGACAACTCCATAGCGTCTATGCATCATGGAAAACTACTCCAGTATTAAATACATTTGTGAAGAATAAATGCTTTCCACAGTTTCGTATTCCTTGCTTGATTAAATGTTGACTCGAATCTTATTTAGCCTACACATCAATAAGCTAACCATTTTAAAGCACAGGCTCTTTTGTCTTGTAATTTATTCGATCATTCTTAAGACTTTATATGAAGACGATTTAAAGCGATTTATTATAACATATATAAATGGCAAATAAAACGAGAAGATCTTTCAAAAATGACCATGCTCAGTGACTGCGTTTCCTCTTTTGTCTTACCTGTTGGGTTCAACTTTAATGACACTATTGATTATTGATTGTTTACTGATTCCACAAAATTGATTTGTGGACTGAATGGGAGCTGGAGGTCAGGACTTACAGATACAGCCGCTTTGAGTTTGTGTTTGGTTATGTCGTTGATGGTCTTAAATCGAATGATGACGAGTTCATGAATAAAAATTAATATTGTTCCATTATGATATTAAGCTATAAGCACACGAATGAAACAACGTGTGGAGAAAAAATATCAGTAGCCTATAGCCTATGTTAATATTAATGGTTTAATCATTCATAGAAATGTAACTTTACATTTATTGTCGGATAGCATGTATGTTAAGTCAACAACACCGTATCGCTCACTCGTCCATTTTTCCAGTGTTAAGACATTAATAAATTGTTTTTATTTTATTTGACGTGTGCCTTATCTCATCAGCTCAACATGTTTTAATAAGTAGCTACTCTGCTCATAAATAATATAATTTTGTTCTTCCTTTTCGATACTGACATTCTGTTTAGAAAGAAAAAAATCAAATAGGCTATAACTGATTAGATTTGTTTAATGGGATTGACTAAATGGAGTGGAAAATAGAAGTGCAATCTTCCAAGTGTAAATACAGAATTAGAAAGTGTAAAAAAGTTGTAATTATGATGCTTTTAAAATATATAACTCACACAAACGCACAAGTAAAACAAATATTCATAAAAAATGAGGCTATAAAGGCTATAAAAAAATAAAAAATAAAACAAAATGGAAATCAGACTAATTGTAGGCCTAACTGTTAACAGATCGCCAAAATAACCACAATGGGGTAAGGACAGTATAATCTTGTGAAAATACATTTTTTTAAATTTCCTATTTATTTAGAGCCGGTAAATTTGGTTTTTGCGCTATATTGATTAACTTAACATTTTAGGCGGTGGCAAATGCATGCTGCATGCTTTCTGTAGTATTTAAATTAATATAGACTATTCATGCCTACATTGCAGCAATATTCCAAGACCTAATTAACTCTATCAAGTGGTTAAACCTCAAACTGTTATTCTTTGGTTTAATTGCTCACAATTAAAAGGAAAAAAAGATAAAAGAAAGCCCAGCACTTTTCCCGTCACAGCTTACGTCCCTAAAGTTGGTCTGTACCGACTCAAGGACAAGAGTTTAACAAACAAAGAAATTGGCTAAATGAAAGATTTTCCATTAAACTGAAAGACAATGGGGATGTAGCCTATTTTGTTTCAGAATTCCGTTGTTAGTTAAATAAGGCTAACCCGTGACACAGACTAGAATAGGCTAGAGGCTATTTATGTCCTTAACCAAGCCCAAAGACGCCCTCGTGAGTTTCTCATTTACAGAAGTGTAAATGTGATTCTTCACCTTTTTAAAGTTTTCTCAAAATAATGTCACAGAATTAAACATGTTTGCATGAGCCTATGTCTTAATAACGACCAAATCAAAGCTAGGAAACAATTAACCTCCGTTAATTAAAAAATATATATAAATGATAATATACTAATCATACATAAATTATAGAAAAATAAGACAATTTTTTTCCAATACTTGTATTTATTGTAGACCATATGTAGGCTACCAGTGACCGCAAATGGCTGATACAATTAAATCTGCTTATATTAAATTAATTATTTCGTAGGCCTGCGTTTTAACAGTAGATTTGGTTTAGTTCTCCCTACTTTTAAAGATATGAAGTTTAGGCTAACTGTGAGCTTTCTCAAAGTTTTGACTGTCTGATGTCTGATCTTTCAATATTTTCACTCAAATATTTCCTTTGTCACAAATCAAACTTTGTCGAGAAAAACCCGATATCATGTGCTTAATATTAGCCACCACTGGATTGTTCACCCGAATACAGGCCTATTGCTGCCAGTATGAGAGTTTTCATCAGATGAACTTTTATCAGAACTTCATGCTTGCTGTCGAAAAGAAACGGGACTAGCCCTGGTTATGTGACCATCTTTTTAGACTGAGAACAGAGACGGTCGATGAATAATTGAAACTGTTTTGGTAGAATGTCAATGTCGCAAAATTGACCAACGATGAAAGGAGGTTAGGTTAATACTAAAGAGAAGTACAAACAACGCTACAAGGGAGGAATCATTTTTTCTCTCTCCAATCAAAACAAACAAACAAAAAAAAAACAATCTGTTCTAAAAGATAGTAGCTACGCTTCTACTGATAACATCACTTCTTTTACAAGAGATTACAATAAAAAGACAAAAGATAGGCTAGATAATGTCATAACAGATGTGGAAAAGGCTGTAACGAGGCCATATCAGCTTATTTATTAATTTGAACAAAAAAAATGCTACCTATCTAGCAGGACACATAATGCACATAATACTTGATTAATACTATTATGAAATATAATCGATACGGAGTCCTGAACGTCCCCTGGTAAGGTGTATATGACGCACCATGTCACTACCGAAGCTTTCATGCTTATTGGCTCGCGCTGTGGCGGCTACATGTGAAACGTGTGTAGCCTACGTAGAGCAGGCTGACTGAGCGATGGGCCCGTTT